TCCACTTCACCCTCAGCTTTCACCTTGCAACTCCTTAGGTAGAACAAGAAGTAACTTCAGAAAACTGTATGCTTGCACGTCTAAGTATAAAAATTCTATGATACCATACTTGATACGTATTTTATGTGATGAAAATAGTGTCAGGCAAGAAACCTTTTTTCATCTAGTAAATAAACAATTTCCTCCATCCATCTTTATATACCTTCAAGTTTTACTTTTATTATTTCTATTATATTTATGGTCCTGTTGCTTTTTTGTTTTACTCTCATAATTGCAAACACCAACTTATTTCTTGTCACCATATCATGTAAAGAGAACATTATATTCAATATTTTTAATCATGCAAGGATTTGTATACCGCATCGACAATACTGTGTGAAACAAGCCCACGGCAATTTTCACTTTTGTTATTATCATTACCTTAGCTGTTATCATTATTATTATTTCCATTTCATATGCTGCATGTTTTCTTTTTTGACATTACCCCTATTATAAATGTTGAAAAATTTTCTGTGTAATTAATTTTATTTTTAATTTGAGGAAATTAGATGCAATATATTGTGATTAATGCTGAAAATTCCATTCTGTATCATAAGTACTGTTTTTGGAATAAAGTAAATCATTATTGTTATTATCATATTCATTTTCCTTTAAATCTAGTAAAGTATCACCTAGAATAGTGTTGTCCACTCTGACGAGTATTTAAAACTAGCTGATTCACGAGTTTCTACTCAACGGGAGAGAAAAGATTATCCAGCTCGATGAATGGATGAGATAACTGTTCCTCAGTCGTTTACTGCCTTCACCAGAATGCACTCCTGAACCTTCGACAATTGACATTCTATAAAATGTCATCGTGTATTTCTGGAGGGATGAGAGAGAAGAGATATCATGATGACGACGATATATTGGATTGAGCTTCAGGTGAGATGGATAGAACTCTATGACACTATCTACTGTCAGTCAGTCAAATCTGCTTTTGTTTGAAGATGGTTGAAGAAGAGAAAATATGGTGGAATAAACTCTGTTGAAGATTGTGCACATACATATCGTGTCTTTTCACAGATGATTAATATTCTTGGATTCGGCTAGAAGTGGATGTCTACTTTGACCGATATAATCTTTATTGCAGTTCATGCAGTTTATTTTGTAAATGGTGTTAATTTTATCTTCTTTTCTGTTGGATATTTTGGTTTATACAACATCGAATGAAGTGATTACGCTGGCTGGCTTGCTTGCTGACTAGTTTGTATAGCATACCTATTTCAAACAGTCTTAATATTACAGCTATTATTTCAGAGATATTTTTTCTTATATATGGTCGGATGAATTTTCTTGTGGTCTTTGATGTTGGCTTGTTGTCGATATTATGACTCAAGTTTAAGCCAATTTTGATGAAATTGTGGGGATATACACCCTTTTTGAAGATGGTTGGTAAATTAACAACCAGTCACGACATTGATTGCCAGCAGATACAATTACATGATTCAAGGAGAATTTAAATAAGTCCAATTTATACTAAAACCTACACTAAAGATGTCGAGAAGGGGGGGGGGGGCGATGACAGCTTCACAGTCAAATCAACCAGCTCAGAGAACACAACTAATTCAGTACGGACCATTGTCACTGATAAAAGTGAAGGAGGTCAAAATGTCTAAGAAAAACATAAGTTACCTGGGGTTCTAGTGGAAAGTTGTGACTGGTAGGGTACAGCAGATCCTGTGTGAGGACAAATACTCGCCGAAGACATTGGCTGGTGTTCGCGCTACGTCATTAATTGGCAGAAGTTGAAATTCATGGGCCATTGGATACGGTCCCCGTGGCTTAATTTTCTACGAGCTGGCTCACCTTGTAACCAGAAGGTACTGGGTTCGAAACCCGGTGGTTGAATGTCAATGAAGAGGCCCAAACTGGGAGGAAACAGCTGTCCAGTAATCCCAGGTTTTCCAATGGTTCTGTAAACGGTGTCAGCTCATGATGAAATCCTGTAACCAACCAATCAAATCCCTACAAACCAACACTTGAATAAACATAAAATTTAAACTTTGTACCAACTGTTTTTAAGAACGTCGACTCTTCATTAGTGTTCATAATTTAAACTGACTGTCTTCAGCTGAATAAAACAAACTCGATTCTAACCCTATTATAACACATCATTTGAGCAGCAGATGAGGCTATGTTGATATTAAATCGAATCAGGGAGTATAAAGTGAGTTGAGCATAGTAGATTGGCATTTTTCCAATTCAAGTAATATCGGATAAAATAGATTGAAGTCATAGAAAATGCAAAGATTGTTGCGTTATAATATGGGGCTAATACATGAACTCTCTAACTGTTTGTAGTCAAAGAGATTTTTAAAAAAAAAGGTTAGAGTATAGTCTGGATAGATGGACAATGTGTGTCTGAATTTTGTAAGCGATGAATAAATTGCTCTGAAATTTTGTAATCCTTGATATTAGATGTCTGGAGGCAACTGACTTCCTACCGATTGTCTCCAACCATCCAATAACAACAAATTAGAGTGTAGTATGTTGGCGAATCAGCCAACTAGCATGCTCGCCACTCTTTGCACCAAACCAAGGACTACACATATGACACGACAACGTAGAGTTCAGTGAAAGTAAAATCCTTGAACCTTCAGATCTTCTTTATATTCGCTGAATATTTCTGCTGCATTTCATAGACAAAAGTCATTTTCAAATATTTTCGATTTTAATATCATTCTATGTGTGGTCATTTCATTTTTGCATATTGTTCTGAAGTATAGAAATATGAACTGATGGACATCTGCAACAGATTTTTGTTGTTCTAATTTAATTTTGTTCTTCGGAAGAAATGGAGTGTTACACAACTTCAAGTTAACTATACTTTGCATTATGCAGTCACCGTTGCCTGGAGGACACTTACAGCTAGTCGGCCTAGACCTATTCATGTGATTCAAACTAACAGGGCTACTGATAAGATTTATCAGTAGTATAAAAAATAAACGTTCATTAACACAGAAATAATTTCAAATAGAGCAGAGATTGCTTTCACGTCAAGGAGAGAAGAAATGAACCAACCAGTACTTTGCAGTAAAACATGGGAGACACAAAAAGAAGACAAAGATAGAGAATAAACGAAGGACAGAATTAGCATAGCAATGAACGGGAAATTTACTTCGCGATCGCCGATAAGAACTCTACAGTTTAACATGCCTACGATGTTCAACACATGTTTAACTAACATTTGAACCGTCAATGAACATCGTCTGACACTGTGACATAGATTCTTATGCTGTCTCTGTATCTATTAAACATACTACTTCTTGGCCATTCATTCGTAATTTAGAATACATGACCCCTTTCTCAATAGCCCCCACTACTTCTAGTCCTAAAGGAGGGAAAGAACACAAATTATAATGTCTGAAATTTTTCCTTCTCTATCTTTCTGGGTAGTACATGCCTCATCCAGTGTCCTGACTTGCCACATTCAAAGCAGTGTTCTTCCCTGGAACTCATTCGTAGTTCCTCTAATTCACGCTACAAATCTCCAGCTGTGTGTTCCCTATCGTTCGATTCCGGTGGCTCTGTTACGACTACCGTTGTATTTAACAGCTATCTACTTACCTTTACTAGCTCACTAGTGTCCATTGGTCATGCAGCGTTTACCAGTTGTAGGGGATGAGAAATGTGGTCTGTAGCACTCTCGATGAACTAGATATTGAATAACCGCGATTCTGAATTCTTATCCAAGGTGGGGAGTGCGCGACGACTTAGAAGATTCGTTATCTTCACAGACAGCACTAATGGTTCTACATCAGGTCCCCGCTTCACAGCAAAAAACTGATTCAGTGTCAGGTGTATACCCGTCAGGCTGTCGTACTCCGCCACGAATCATGCAAACAATTCCTTCAAGGCCTCTTTATAACCTGTCCACTCCACACTGTCGTTCGCGGCCTTCCCCATTTCTCTCAGTAGCATAACCATCCTTGACACCTACCAAGTCACTGACAGCAACAAAGTCCCTCAAAAAGCTCCTGATGTCTCTTACTCCGATGGCAACAGACCATGGGATCTTCATTTTCTGGAGGTAGCAACACTAAATATATTGTTAGAAGACAATTTTTTGTGATATTTCTTTTACTTAAAGAAATTATTCAACACCTTATGTGAAAACCGTCATTTGCACAGATCTTTCGTCTTGTGCCCCCACTTCTGCCCTTCACATGTTCTCTTTCTTTATCTTCTTTTCGTGTCTATCATGTTCATGGTTCATTTCCTATCTCTGTGATGTGAAATCTATCTCTCTGCTATTGATATTTTTGTGCCGATGAACGTCTCTACCTTTATACTAGTGGTAAATCTCTACTCCAGTGGCACACACCACAGATTCATAGAATGATGCTATGTCCTAATCCCAACTCAGATTTCAACCATCCAGTTCAACTAAGTGTCTAACTGATTAGAGTCCTATCAATCGTCTATTGATTGTATAATAGGGTGACTCGATTATTCAGCGGTAGAAAGCTCGCATCAACCACACCTCACATGGTCCCGGGTTCGATCTCCTACCGACGGATGCACTCCTAGCTAAACCTGACTAATCCTTGTAGTAAGGCCACTGGTAAAGAGGGAATGTCGGCCTAGTTGAACCTAGCAGCCTAACCCTGTAAAAATAGAAAATAAAATCACTGCTACCAAAACTTCAAAGCTTGGGGATTGAAGTTCTATGTTCCACTCGCAACGTGAAGAAATAAAATAAAAAACAAATAATAACAAATTCATGTATAAGTTCCAGGAATTAAAAGAAAAGAAGAAATAATTTATTGAAAGTCAAATCTTTCAAATAATTTCAGTGGATTTCAATAAATAATCACATAAAATAATCAAAATAATATGGAGAAATAAGGATGGGGGAAATTGAAAGATACCATAACTTATTGTTTTTACATTAATTTCAAACTGTTTCAACTTTTACTGTGTTACATGATGAAGAATTGCTGGATGTCGGCTAGTTGTCAGAAATCCGTCGGTTTGAGTTTATGAACATTTCCCAGTGGTGTAGGCAAAGAACCAAATACGACAGTTGTGTCAGCTGTAATTGCTGTCTCTTCAGAATCCTCGTCAATATCTCTTGGGTGTTTTATAAATCTTCTGAATAATTTATGTGGGTTGGATATTCCTTGATTTGGTGATATTTCTGCCTTGTTTGAACATTCTTGATGTTCATGATGATTATGATGATCAGAATAATAATGAGAACAGTGGTCACCGAGTAAATTTCTCACGTCGAGAAATTGTTGGGAAGACGATAATTCACCATGCGAAGCAGTGCGTTGAGACATTTTCTTATCATGATGATGATAATGATGAACACGTTTTCTACACGATGATGCCGATGGTAATTCATCTCTACCTGGCGATAATCCCACTTTTTCCTTCATCAGTCTAGAAGTATGAAGCGAAGAGTCAGACCACGAATTCGACTCTCCAACCTTTTTGCTTTTTACCTTCACTGTTTGTACTGCCACTTCACGAGAACGAGGAGGTTTATTCGTCAGCCGTGGTACTGATGAGATATTATACATCCCTTGTGGATTATATTCTAATAATCGCCTCACCGCTCGACTTTTCGCATTATTGCATTTTCGACGTCTCAGAAATATGGCGAACATTTCCCGATTTGCAAGAAAATTCATTCAATTAGCATGGTTTATCTCGCTGTCAGAAAAATGGAGTTTTCCAGTGAAAGGTGGCTTAAATTTTTCTTTTCATATATATGTGAACATTATTCATGTTAAAATGTATTTAGTTATTCATCATTCAGTTGCAACGCAAGTGTTTAGTGTATATTCTCCATTATTTATCACATGAATGCTTACCAGTTTGAAATGTACATCAAAAGTTAGTTGATGGTGAATCGATAATCCATCCACAAATGACCTTGAGATATTTATTATAATGAAAGATCCTTTTGCATTCCCCAATGAATGAATGAATGAAAAATTCAAAACGATATTGCTGGTTTTTCATTGACGTCTCTCTGTTTCAAGTGCTACCAGTAACTTTATCAAAGCAGCTATATTAAACGAGAATTTACAAATTCCACTGAGTTTATGTATGCATATTACAACTTAATCATCGTTCATTAGCATGAGGTGATACTGTTTATGTTGTTGTTGTCAAGCTGACAAATTGGTAAAGATAACAGAACCAAGTGTGTGTAGAATTGGTGAATTTGATAAGCGTATGAAATTGGGGAATACTGATGAACCCAACCATATAGTCGCTGATCTCTTCATGAATACATTTGAAGATAAAACCTTTCTAAATATACTCACATCTAAAGTATGGCTAATATAGGTCGACGACATTTTCGTTGAACTAGAACGAGATCTACATCGATCATTATTGGAGAAACCGCTGGTGAGATCCTGAAGAACTGTTTATCTAGATCACTGAGCTACAGAGCAGTTTTTACAGCCGATAAATGATCAATGGATGTGTGAAGGATAAACTACCACTTCGGGTCACTTCAATAGGTGTTTATAATTTCACTTGTTCCTACGGAGCTAGTTGTATTGGCCGAACAGATCGCATACTTTCCAAACGCACCTCTGAACATTATCAGGCATGGTAAGCAAAAGGACAATGCAAGACAGTTAGTTACCAGCTCAATTCTCGAGCACTTGGTGAACTCAAGCCACACAGCTCCACCAGAGTCGTTTTTCAAGATCATCTACAAGGTAAGACCAAGTGGTACAAAGGATGTTAGACTTCGTCATTTGTGTATGGCGAAGGCTCTGGTAATTCGTTAATTCAACTCAAAACTCTATATACAGAAAACGTTTGTCCAGTCTCTTATTCTACCTTGGTCTCAACCTCTTCACTAGTCGACGCTGTCAAGGCATTCACTTTTGTCAGCAGACAAAGAAACAAGAAGATGCTTGCAACTGCAGAGGCTTGTGCAATTCGAGTTTATAAGCCAGGTCTCTCTCTGTGTACAAAAGGAGATGGTCGTCACTCTGAATCTACCATGGTAATACGTTTTACTTTTTATTCTACCTCATATTAATATTATTATTCTTGATTCATTTAAAACTATCCTTTATCAGTAGAGCATTATCTTAACTCACTTCAACACTTTTGGTATTATTGTTATTATAACTATTACTATTGATATTACTCTGTTTGCAATTCTTGTTATTTTCTCTAATGACTAGTTGTATGTCTAAGTGATGTAATTGAAGCGTAATGCATTTTATCTTAATTTTTATCTCTCATACTACCTTTCTCCCCTTATCTATTTGAACATGACCTGGAAAATCATTCGCACCTGTCTTTCTGCATGACTAATTCAATATAGTTATATATCTCCCAATGTAATCAGCTGACGAGATCTATCGAAATTTGATGAATTCATTAAATCCTGCTTTATTAACCTTTGTTGCTTGTTTTAAAACTGTTCATGTTGGACCATCGGCTTGTATCCAACAAAATGCCATTTATTGTATGTGTAATACTTGGGCGCTGTGATAGTATGTAATTACACATTATTGCTGAAGAGTCCCAAACTAGGACGAAACAGCTGTCCAGTACTCCCTGCCTTTCACAATAGTTTTCTAACCAATATCTTATATGAATACAGTTAGACGGTATAATTAACATTTTGAACACTATTCTTCATAAGCATAACAACTGCAGTAGTGAAACAAATGATGAGAATTACTCACTACATCATAATCGATTTCACATACCCATTAAGAATTTCAATAGATTGATTACTGAACAAACAATGTGTATCATAATTATTGTTTTGGAATAGAGCGAAGCATTATTCACTGTTATTATTGATCTGGCCAATGTGTAAACAAAAATACCACATTCATCCTCTTTGTTCGCTTGAGGCTGCTAAAAGGTCAACGGGGACATTATCATGTCATATTACGCCTTTCTTATTCTTTTTCATCTGGTTCACTTTACACTATGATTACCTACCTTTATTATGTGTGAACCTGCATAACCTTGTCATGTCTCTAACATTTTAGAATCGTTCACGATTTAACCTCTTTATTTTTTCACTACACACACTTGATATCTGTCAGACCTTGCTTGTGCTTACATTCAGTGTTCCCCCATTTGTTGTTTGTATTTGTTTGCATGTATTTTGTGCTAATCATACTTGTCTCTCTCTCACGCACACACACACACACACACAAGTGAATTTAACCCAACCCAACCCAACACCACCCACCCAAATGAAACTCTGTTGTCTCCATATTCATTAGTACGTCACCATCTTGACTATTCACACTTCAAACATTCCCATAATGATAATTACAGAACACGAGTTAAGCAAGCCAATATAGGCATTTTCACATCATGAAATATTAGTGGTCATGGTCATTTGAATAAATGTACAGCAATCGACGTGATCATAAAAACAGCGATATTAACAAGAATAAATTCATTCAAGTGTTTATGTTAATCTAGGTAATGGTGAGAGTATAGGTAGAATGTGCATACTAGTAGGGGTAGAGGGGAAGATAACTATTATCACATAGCGACTAGATAATGTAATAATAATAATAATAATAGTGATAAATTGCGCAACTGAGATTGAAATGTACAACTACAGCACAGCATGATATCCATAATACGGTAAGCATTACAAATAAAATAAAATGTAATAAATGAAATATCCCCATATTGAAATCAAAACAAGATTTTGAGCGAACAATTGTTTTCGATAACTTCTTCTTCAGGCTCTACAGTTATAAATCCATGAATAATAGAGTACATATAGCCAATAAAGGCAAATGAAAATAATATCAGAAACTGTATTGGAGTGCATGTGTAAGTTTAGATGATAGTCCATTAGTTAACATAGTCAATCAAATGTGTATAGGGTGTATAGTTAGAAAAAATGTGATGAAGTGTGAATGAACAATTGGGTGATATAGTGCTGTTTTATAGTCAACAGAATACAAGTGTCATTGGGGTGAGAGAAATGCGATAACCACAAAATACATACAAACATACGCACTGATGTGAGGGCTGACCAATAATGTCTAATGATAAAATAAAGAGGCTAAATTGTAAATTGTAATAAGATGTTACAGAGTTGGTAGGCTTAGTGTAAAATCACAAAGGTTGACAAAATTAAGGGTAACAATGAGGTGAAATGAACTGGGTGGAGAAATGGATAATAAAGACATGATATCACAGAATGATAATAATGGTAATAATAATACGGAAAATTATGATACTGGTGACCTTATATTGGGCCAGGGTAGACAGAGAGAGTGAATAAGTTTTTTCTGTTTACATAAGTCTGGTCTTTCTCTATTAATCTCTAAAGCCTCAGCTATGGCTAGGAGGCGTATTCGTGTGCCTTTATAATCTAGGTAGTGGTCAGTGTATAGGTAGAATGTGCAAACTAGTAGGAGTAGAGAGGAATCAAACAATTCCAACACTGGTGTGAACACGGGCAGTAATTTTGCTCGAAATATTACCAATAACAAAACTTATCATTGTGTGTAAACTATTAAAATATAATTATACTTTATTTGATCTAATCCACAATGCTCAAACTTTTTACTGATAGGAAGATAACTATTGTCACATAGCGATTAGATAATAATAACAATAATAATAATAACGATTAATTGTGAAACCGCGATTGAAATGTACAACTACAGCACAGCATGATATTGACAATACAATTAGCAGTAGAAATAAAATAAAATAAAAATATAATAAGATAATATTCACATTTATCCGGTGTCACCGGGAGAGATAAGTATGTTAGGTTGGGGATGAAGGCCAAGGGAGAGAGAGAGAGAAAACAAAATCTGTGTCTGAAAACAGTTATTGTATTGAGAAGTCCTTGTGGCAACTGTCTCAGCCAGGCTTAGCAACCAAATCTTGTACTCCATACCCACTGGGTGTGCCAATATGGAACAACTTCTGATTGGCTTTACGACTCCTTTACCTCACCACGTTGGACAGTGCTACAGAAGGCGACGATGGTCTTGCCGAGTCCTTCTACCTATGTAACTGTCTCCATATCAACAGTTACATTTATAAATGCACTTTGGAATGTATGTTGTTGGTAAGATAAGTAGGATTACAGTTCAGGGATGTGAATTTATGGATGGTAATCGAGGTGATCATAACAACAGTAACAAGGATAAATTCTTTCAAGTGCTGTGCTTCTTGTCCTTTGTATGTTTAATATTTTGAAGGATTTACAAATCTCGACAAAATGACCCATATCCACATGGTGTCTGGGAATTGGACTTTGTAAAGAATTAACTCATACTGATGGACGACGGTTAAGTTGCTAGATGCAAGCTGAGATTTTGTAAATTCTGGATTAAGTAATACTTTGATAAAGCTATCACCATTTAATGGTGAAACTTCAGTAAATACAGCAATATCGTTATGTCCTTTTTCGTTTATTGGGGAACACAAAACCTTTTATAATTAGTTTCACAATGTATTAAATTTATATTATCTATTTGCCGTGTAATAATAGTCATTTTCCAAATTCCCATTCAAGCATTTAGAAAAACCAAAAGATTGAGGGAAGATACATGCATTCCTTTTCAATTAGTTCCTCATCATCAGCTGGCTCTACACTCAGAATATGTACTTTTCCACATCAAAATGT